TGCAATCTGTTGGAGTAGCAAGAGAACCGAGAGCTGCTGGACTTCGAACGTAGAGGTTAATGGTTGACATCTCAAGAAGTAGTTCTCTGACTTTTCTTTCTCCATTTATTTCCGATGGTTTATTAGCAGAATAGAAGGCACATAGTGCCTTAAAACATTCGATACTTAGCATGAGATTTCTAAAAAACTAATTTACCATAATTACGCCATTATGTTTCGCTAACTTTAAAAAATCCAATCGGTCTAGTCGAAATTTTGGAATTTTTATATCTTTTGGTAAAAATAAATAAAAAATGTAAAAAAGAACTAATTCTTTTAAGTTCAATAAAATAAAATGTACTTAAACCCTGCCATAACCAACCAACAACAAAACACCAACAAAATTAACAATATTTAGTTCATTACACCCTATAAACTTTGTTTCGGTTTGAGTTTTTAGTTTACTACGTTTTACGAGTTTTTGTACCCGCACAACGACAAACAGACATTCCGGCATACTGCGGGTACATACATATTTTTTATTATTTTTATTTTTTTTTGTGCTAAAAAATATTATAAATAAACTGAGATTCGTAAAAATTATTTGTTTAAAAGACAAAAAAAAAAAAAAACGAACAAATAAAAATTATGAATTGCAATCGGGAGAGAGAGAATCATGGGTACAAACAAAAAACGAAACGAAAGAGTAGTGTTAGACTAAACTTTGATTATTTTATGCAATAACAAAAATTTTATTTTATTTAAATTGCTAAATTATTTTTCTTTCTTTCAAAGTCACACAAAAAATATATATATATATATACATATATCAGCAGTTTGTTTCTTGTGAATAAATAAATAGAAATCCTGCTTTGTTTGAATTTTTCTTTACGTTTTTAAGCAAAAGTGTGACTCACTCATTTAATTGCTCAAGTTATTTGAGTGAAATTAGTGGATGAGAACTGAAAGAAGTCAACAGAATAATAAAGGATACAATTTATACTAAATTCTTTAAGTTTTTCTATTGATAATGGGATTTTTTTCGAAAAGAAATTGTTTTTGAGTTCTGATTGATTATGGTGTAATCACGTTTTAATGCGACATTGAGATTTATGATTTTTATTCGAAATTGTTACCTTTGAAATTGCTTCTGTTCCATAGAACCCTTTTGGATTATGTTTGTACTTGTTCTAGAACTAGTAAGTTTTAAAGAATAAATTTAAAATTTTATTTTGAATATAAAAGTAATTAATTAAATTTGTAATTGTTTTTAAAAATAGCAAATTGAAATGAACAAATTGTGTACCTACTGCTGTCTGGCTATCTCAGATGTCACATTTAGATTTATTTTTGTTTTTGTGAAATCTTCTTTACAATTAGCGACAATTTTTCTCTGACTATGTACAAAATATTTTGTTAATTTTTAATAAAAAGCTAAATATGTACTATATGAAATGCACAGTTTCCTAGAGAAATAGATAGAATGGAACAGATTTTATAAAATAATATTTATTTCAATTCAAAATATTTCTTTATAATCCCTGAAATTGTATATAAGTTAATTCTTTTTAAATCCTGCGTTTTTCATACCTCCTTTTAGCATGTTTTTTTAAGGTTAATATTTTTATTTGCATTTAGTTTGTTCGTTTCTGTTAAAGAAAAAGGTCAAGTACTTAAGTTTTGTTGGTTTGCAACAACAACAATAACAAAAAGCCAAAGCAATAAAAAAATACACGCTCTAATTTAATCAATTAAGTATGATTCATAATTTAATTCTTAAATTTCCCTTATAAAATATCATATACAGTGAGTACAAATTCTACATAACTCTCTCTCTTTTTGTCTCACTTCATAGTAAACACCAGACGTGGAAATTCAGCACTTTAGTGCTTTTTCCAATATTTTTTGATTCCCACCATGACATTTTCAGTACTTTTTCTAACTTATTATCTTTTGATAATTAGTCCACAGTCTAGTCTATAGTCTAGTCTATAGTCTAGTCTATAGTCTAAGTCTATAGTCTAGTCTATAGTCTAGTCTATAGTCTAGTCTATAGTCTAGTCTATAGTCTAGTCTATAGTCTAGTCTATAGTCTAGTCTATAGTCTAGTCTATAGTCTAGTCTATAGTCTAGTCTATAGTCTAGTCTATAGTCTAGTCTATAGTCTAGTCTATAGTCTAGTCTATAGTCTAGTCTATAGTCTAGTCTATAGTCTAGTCTATAGTCTAGTCTATAGTCTAGTCTATAGTCTAGTCTATAGTCTAGTCTATAGTCTAGTCTATAGTCTAGTCTATAGTCTAGTCTATAGTCTATAGTCTAGTCTATAGTCTATAGTCTAGTCTATAGTCTAGTCTATAGTCTAGTCTATAGTCTAGTCTATAGTCTAGTCTATAGTCTAGTCTATAGTCTAGTCTATAGTCTAGTCTATAGTCTAGTCTATAGTCTAGTCTATAGTCTAGTCTATAGTCTAGTCTATAGTCTAGTCTATAGTCTAGTCTATAGTCTAGTCTATAGTCTAGTCTATAGTCTAGTCTATAGTCTAGTCTATAGTCTAGTCTATAGTCTAGTCTATAGTCTAGTCTATAGTCTAGTCTATAGTCTAGTCTATAGTCTAGTCTATAGTCTAGTCTATAGTCTAGTCTATAGTCTAGTCTATAGTCTAGTCTATAGTCTAGTCTATAGTCTAGTCTATAGTCTAGTCTATAGTCTAGTCTATAGTCTAGTCTATAGTCTAGTCTATAGTCAAGTCTATAATCAATTCTATAGTCTAAACCACAGTCTTGTCTTAGTCTAGTCTACAGTCTAATATATACTCTAGTTTATTCTGCAGCCTATTCTATAATCTAGTCTATAGTCTATGATTTATTAATTAGTTAAGTACTTTATACTATAAAGTACTATTTTTGTTATATATATACTTTTTAAAAATTTCTATTTTCCATTCCTGCTAAACACCATCATCAATATGAGGTTGGCTACTACCACAAATCATTATCATATGTAGGTCCATATATCCATTTATACATCCACTTTAGTGTAACAGATGAGGTACCACCCAATTGAACATTAAAAAAATTATGTATGAAAATTCAAAAAAAAAAAAAAAAAAATGAGGGACAACGTTTTTTCCTTTGATACACATTAAACATAAAATTATGAAAATTATAAAATATGTTGTTGAACATATTTATTTTTGTTGTTCTGTTTGTAGTGAAATATTTGTTCATGAAAATGTGAAAGAAAAAATGATAACTACACTGACTGATTGTATGTTGTTGATTTTGTAGCTGTGTTGCTTCTCTGTAGTTGTTTGTTGCATTTCTACAAATAATCAGTGTTGTCAGTGGTTTTTGAGAAAAATTAGTGAGAATTATCGCCTAAAACTATCAACATAACTTATATTTATGTCGAAATGGAAAAGTTTCACAGCTAGTCTTGGTCGAAAATTTTCCCCGTCTTTGGAAGTATTTTACGCCCGACATTTGTTCTATAGAATACTTTTGCAATCATCAATGTTTTCAGTTCGAAACTAATTCGAAAATTAAGCTTTTTGTCCCACCGAGTATAGACGCATTATCTTATATGTATGTCATGGATTTTTCTCTTTGGCATTAGTGTAGTTAAAATTTCGCTGTTGTTGAAATTTCATCCCTCAGTAAAAATTTTCCTAGATATTGAATTGACAATCATTAGCTGAATCGGGTTGTTCCGGGGTGGATATTCATTTATCAAGGGGATTCGGCTGGTTGGCAGGGCTTCACAGACATCTAACGCTTCGGGTCATTGCAAGTTTAAGCTGCATATTCATTCTCTTTGAATTAATCCTTTGCAAATGGGAGATTTTAATTTTCTTAAGTTAAAATAACAAGAAATAATTGTAGTTTTCACTACAATCATTGCTCCGGAACGACCCCTGTCACACACGCCTAAAAAATATCAACACAGGAAAGAACTATCGGCCACAATCGAAATGTTGTTAAGAATTTTTTAAATATTAAATTTTTTAATTGATTTTCTATAAACATCCTTTTTTATTTAAATTATTTGCAATTCTCCCTTTTTTTTATCATATTTTTATTCTTTGTTTTTCTTTCATCTTCACTCTGTCTCTCTCTATCTCTTTGATGTTTCTGCATCTTCTGAATGTCATACGCTTTTACTATGTAATAGGCTGTGGTCAAAGACTTTGGTTGTTTGTTGTTGGCTGTTGCCACAAAAGTATCATCTTCGTTTAGTTTTCTTCTTTTAATTGTTTTACTTTTTTTAATTTGTTGTAGCAAATGTTTTTTATAATTAAATAAATATATAAATATTATGTACGTATCAGTGAATATTGAAGAAGTTGTAAACAGCAGTGATTTTTTTATTAGGTTTAATGTAGAAGTTTGTTGAAGCAGCCAAGCAATCCTCGAGAAATGTTATAAAATTTAAAGTTTTCATAAATAACACAGGCCAACAAAATTTTAAAAATGAAGTGGAAACCCAGAGACCAAAGTATTATTTTCTAGTAAACTAGTGCTAAATCCGCATCTCCATCATATCATGTTTACCACATATCGTGTCCTAAAGATTGGAAAAAACATCATAACAGCGCTAATACATATTTATTTATAAAATTTGTTTTAAAGTTTTTTTTTTTAAGTCGACTCATTGGACTTTTAGATGACGTAACAAATTTTATAAATTAAGATGTTTTCGCGCTGTTATAACGTCAAGTTCAAATATCATTTAGAAATTTTTAGATGCAAATTAACATCTTAAATAAATAAAAAATAAAAACTTTTAAAAATAACACTTATTTTGTACATTATTATTTAAATTAAATAATTTTAAATATTTTAAAATACTTTAGATTCTATTTTTGGCTTTTTTGCAATAAATAATTTAATATCCTACTATCTCATTGTTAAATCATATCCATTTTTAAATTGTATCAGTTTGATTGTTTTGTTCAAAATTTTTATTTGATTTTTATGTTTAAAATTTTATTTTATTCTTTCTTTTTTCCGTTCTTTTTGTAGATCCTTTTGGCATGCTTGTGTCTAAGGCCAGATTTATTGGTAAGTTTCGTCGATTTTTATGCATTTTTTAAGTTTATAAACTTTTCCTTTTTAATTTTTCCCCCAAAAATTAATTAATTCATTTTTTTAATTTACAAATAAGTTGTGTTCATAATTAGCTAAAACTTTAAAAGCGCTTTTAATACAATTATTATTTTAATTGATTTTTGTTGTTAACTTTTTTTACATTATACAACATTTAAAAATGCATAAAAAATAGCTGAATGTTATAAACCAATGTTTAGCTATGAAAAGCAAAATAAATTTTGTTCAATACTAATTTAAATTATTAATAAAACTACTATAACTACTGCTTATGCTCTCAACTACTACTACTTTTACTATCACCACTGTAAAAACTACTCCTACAACAAACCAAAAATAAAATTGTTTTGCTGGCCTTAGAGACAACATGAACTATATTTTTTTTGTTTTTTTATTAAATGTTAATTTTAAAATTATATAATTATTTTTTTAGCTACGTTTTTATTTAAATTTTATTCCAAATTTGTTTAAATAATTATTGTTTTTTAAATTTTGCTTAGTTAACACCTAAAAGTAGGCAGTATATTTTATTATTCCAAAAAGCCTAAAAAATAGCAAAATCATAAATGCCACAGATAGATTGCTAATATTTTAATAACGAAACCATTTTCTTTTATATGATTTTAGGATGATATACCAGAATCTGATCCGGACTCTTGTGGTCATGATGCCGAAGGCCATGAAGAAGAAGATGATGGTGACGATGAGGACGAAGATGAAGACGAAGAAGACGAGGAGGACGATGATGATGAAAATGAAGATGACGATGATGACGACGACGACGATGAAGAGGACGAAGAGGAAGAAATCGACGATGACGATGATGATGAAGAAATTCAAGATCCCAATGAGGTCAGTGGTGATTTCTTGCTCGACACCAATAACGATCGTAGTAATCGAAATCTTAATGCCCTCTTTGAAGCTGCCGGTAAGTTGCTATGAATGAATAAATTTTATTTTTACAGTATCCACGAAGTAAATCGTATTGATTTCTTTACGTTTTTTTTTGTTTTTTTTTTACAGCCAACGAAAAAGCACCTGTTTTACGTCATGCCACCCATGCCATCGATGAGACTAAACAGGCCCTAACAAAAATGCGTGGTGCTAGCAGTGATAAGACGTAAGTAAAGTTTAAAGTTTATAGAAAATAAAGAAGAGAGGTGTAGCAGAAAAATTGCAAATAAAAGATAAATATTTATACTTACATACATACATAGCTATATGTTAATCTTGTACTTGTACATACATAGGTCATTGCACCAATTTTTCTCGAAAGATTTTCTTATTTATTAGTTCATATTTTGTGCAATAATTTCAATATACATAGTTATTATATGGGATATATGATCCAAAATCTAAAAAAAAAACATTATTTATATAATTTCTAATATTTGTATTTCGGATATTGCTGACATAGGCAATTGATATTACAATATTTCTAAGAAAAGAACTGTGTTTAAGATACATCCGAAAATATGGTAAAAATTGTAGTGTTTTGAACATTTTTGTTTAATTTTTTATAAATTTCTGATATCAATATCAAAAGAATAAATTCTTGGAATATTCTCGAATTAAATCAGAATCCTAAAATTTCGTAAAACTATATAAATAATATGTATATTATTGATTAAATCTTCTTCTTTTTGTTTAGCATATTGTTTAATTTTAAATATGAATCAAAAGTACAAATTCTTGGAATATTCTCGAATAAAATCAAAATCTTACATATCCTAAAATATGTATATACATTGATTAAATATTCTTCATTTCGTTTAGCATGTTCTCACGTACTCTAATTGCTGCCTGCAACGATAATGATGTTAATACAGTGCGTAGTCTGTTGGGTAAGGGAAATGTTAACATTAACGAATCTACAGATGACGGTGAATCCTTGCTTTCTATGGCATGCTCAGCCGGTTACTATGAATTGGCACAGGTAAATATTTTTTGTATAAAATTTTTCATTTATTTCATAATTTTTGTAAATTTTCCAAATCTTTTTAAATTTCCTTCCCGTAGGTTCTCTTAGCCATGTCTGCAGCTCAAGTAGAAGACAAGGGCCAGAAAGATTGTACTCCTTTAATGGAGGCAGCTTCTGCTGGTCATTTGGAGATAGTTAAACTTTTACTAAGTCATAATGCAGATGTAAATGCTCATTGTGCCACCGGTAATACCCCGCTAATGTTTGCCTGTGCTGGTGGTCATGTTGAGGTGGTTAAAGAATTGCTGAAGCATGGTGCCAATGTTGAGGAGCAAAACGAAAATGGTCATACACCGTTAATGGAAGCAGCCTCAGCTGGTCACGTTGAAGTTGCCAAGGTAATGTTCAAATAGTTTAGATTAACTTTATCCAAAAATGGCAAATGATGAAAATCCGAGATTCGAGATATTAGGATATTTGTGAGTTTGTTTTCCTCAAACTATTCAAAGATTGAGTTAATAATCTAGTTTAAGGAGAATAACTCGTTAAAAAAATATTTATTAATATCAGTGATATTGTTTGATCTTATTTGATGTCTTTTGTTAATGACTAGCTTCAAAAACTAAACTTCTTTATAAGGTTTTATATAGTTAATTTATAATTTTATAAATTATATTTAGGTTTTGTTGGAACATGGTGCCGGCATTAACACCCACTCGAATGAATTCAAGGAAAGTGCTTTAACGCTGGCCTGTTACAAGGGCCATTTGAATATGGTACGTTTCCTTTTGCAAGCTGGCGCTGATCAAGAACATAAAACCGACGAAATGCATACTGCCCTAATGGAGGCTTCAATGGATGGTCATGTAGAAGTGGCCAGACTACTATTGGATTCAGGAGCTCAAGTTAACATGCCTACTGATTCATTTGAATCTCCTCTAACTTTGGCGGCCTGTGGTGGACACGTTGAATTGGCAACTTTGCTAATTGAACGTGGTGCCAATATCGAAGAGGTTAACGATGAAGGCTATACCCCGCTAATGGAAGCTGCCCGAGAGGGTCATGAAGAAATGGTGGCTCTGTTGCTGAGTAAGGGGGCAAACATTAATGCCACCACCGAAGAAACACAAGAAACGGCACTGACGTTGGCTTGTTGTGGTGGTTTTAGTGAAGTTGCGGAATATTTGATTAAACATGGAGCCAATTTGGAATTAGGAGCTTCTACGCCTCTGATGGAAGCGGCTCAAGAAGGACACACCGATTTGGTACGTTTTCTTTTGGAAAACAAAGCCAACGTGCATGCCGAAACGCAAACGGGCGATACAGCTTTAACCCATGCCTGCGAAAATGGTCATACCGATGCCGCTGAAGTTCTATTAAGCTATGGTGCCGAATTGGAACATGAGTCGGAAGGTGGTCGTACCCCGCTAATGAAAGCCTGTCGTGCTGGTCACTTGTGTACCGTCAAGTTTCTCATATCCAAAGGAGCTGATGTTAATAAGCAGACCAGCAGCAATGACCACACCCCACTCTCTTTGGCCTGTGCAGGTGGTCATCAGGCTGTTGTTGAATATCTATTGAAAATTGGGGCAGATCCATTCCACAAACTAAAAGATAACAGCACCATGCTTATCGAAGCAGCTAAAGGTGGTCATACCCGTGTCGTTGAACTGCTGTTCAAATATCCTCACTTTATACAAAATCATCAAAACGAACTGCAATCGGCGGCTGCAGCAGCGGCCGCAGCTGCTGCTGTGGGTATTAATAATACCACAGCCTCGAGTGCTGCTGCCAATCAATTACATTTAATCAACTTGCAACAGCAAAAGCAATTGCAACAACAGCAGAAACAATTGCAGCAACAGCTCCAGTTACAGTTGCAACAGTTAAGTGCTCCTCCCGGTTTGCATGAAGTTTCCGAAGCTGCAAGAGCAAATAACCAACAAATTTTCCATCATCAGCAATACACCACCAATAATAACGCTTTGGCAGGTGCCACCAACGAGTATTTGGAAGAACAATTGCAACTGCAAGCTCCAAATGCTAATGCCACAGAAGCTGGCTCCAATCAAGTGGTGGCCTGTAATGAGGAATATGCTGCCATTGATATAAATTCGTTGAGTGCTCAGCAACAAGAGGCATTAATTGCAAAATCAAGACTTTTCCATTTACAAGCTGGTTTTGGTAATGTTGGTGGTGGCGGCACAGCAGGTGTTATTGGCAACAACAATGAACAAGTCGCCGCTAACCTTAACAATCAGCAACAACAACAGCAGCAGCAACAACAGCAACTACAGCAACGTAAACATTTTGATTTAGATATGTCACATATAATGCCTCTTACGCCACCACAAAAACAACCTCCAGCTCCACCTGTTTTGCAAGCGCAGCAGCCACCATCACAAACAACATCACAGCCGCTACAACAGCAAGCTTCTCAACAACAGCCGCAGCAGCAAATTAAGCTTAAGGGCAATCAGCGTAAAAGTCGTCAACAACCACCACAACCATTTGAAGTTAGTATACCAAACACTGCCAATGCCAGCAACAACAACAACAACAGTAACAATACGAACAATGAACAACAGCAACAACAACAACAAATGCAAGATATTGAACGTTCTCAGCCTTTGGGTGATGATGGATTGGGCAATAAGCCACAACAACAGTCCACAACACAGCAGCAGCAACAACAACAGCTACAATTTTCCTGCTTTAATGATGATTCACGTTTCATAAGACGTCGTGTTTTAAGGCAGGATTTCAATAAGGTAATTTTTGTTTAAACACTTCCCCACAATTGGCGTTTAATTTTTTAAATTGTATTTCAGCTGTCAAATGATCAGAAAAATATTCCTGCTACTTTGTTGCCTGCCTCTTATTTGGATATGACTGGTGGTAATGTTAATAACCAGAACCAAAATGTTGGTGATGGAGCAGATGCTATAACCTTGAATCAAAATCTATTGGCAGGTTAGTTTAGAAAATGACAAATACGTTTTGTTTTAGAAAATAATATGATTTTGTTTGCTAATCTTTTCAGTTGCTCCCGCCATGGGTGATGGTTCGGAAATGCAGCCAGTAATTATAGCCAGCCCAGAACCTCTAAATTTTGCACCCAACCAGGCGTTGATGATGCAAGAACTTTTCGATCCTAATAATCCACAGACTCCACTAACCTTGGCAACAACTCTACCACAAGGAACACAATTTGTTTTGGGACCGGCACCACCACCTCAGCAACAACAACAACTGCAGCAGACTCAGTCGCAGCAGCCACAAACTCAGCAACAACAGCAACGCATTGTGACTGGTAAAACGACACAAAAGTCAGGAGGTATAACAACACCTTCGGAAGTGTCCCAAAGTACTGCAATCAGCGATAGGCCCAAAGCTAAGCCAGTTTCCAAGAAGGATGGAAAGATTTTGCGTAAAACCACAACACAATCAACAGCAGCCACTACACTGCAACAACCATTGTTTAGGCAAAACCAAATGGTATCCATTTACAATAACTTGGTAAGCAAAGTATGAAAACAAACTTCCAAACTTACCACCCAATTACAACTTTTATACTAACTGTAATTTTCTTTTCATTTAGCCCATGTTAATAACAAATGAAGCTACTCCGAGTCTCCAAACCCAACAAGCCATTATGAATCATATGGTGTTTGCCGCCCAACAGCATCAACAACAACAAATTGCTTTAGATGTTGTTAACGATGCTCAAGTAGTGACACAGCAACAGCAGCCGCAACAACAGGGTGTTATTGCTTTAAGTAATTCACCAGCATCACCATTGGCTTCTCCTTCTTCCGGAGCCACCGCTTTATGTGATCCGCAACTGCAGCAGTTTATGGAAATACAAGCAGCAGAGGATATGCACCAGCAGCAGCAGCAACCAGAAAACGAGCAAACTGCACAAGAGATTCAAGAGGCTTTAGATGCAGCACTCTCCGATTCCAAATTAGCTGTTACTGATTCCCTAAATGCTCTTAGCAAGGCTAATGCAGCGGCAGCCGCTGCAGCTGTGGCCAAAGCTTGTGGCCTTAATCCAGCCGAACAGCAAGAATGCCTTAAAAAACTGCAAGAGGGTTGGCAGATTGTAGACTTACGCCAGCGTATATTCCATAAACAACCAAAATCGCCTACAGAAACACCACCCGACAAGCAGATCATAGATATAACTAATTTGGAAAATGAATTGGACTCTAGTGAGACCGATGCTAATAATGAAATGAAAAATTTAGCTACACTTTGCACAGCTGCTGCACAAGCAGCTGCAGTCAATGTCACAGCAGGAGAGACGGATACCAAAGACTCCGGCAAAACGACAGTTGACAACAGCAAGGGCAGCAGCAAGAAACAGCGCAAGCTATCCAAAAAAGAGAAACTATCACAACAAGATGGTTTGGAGTTATGTCGTTTACCAGAACCCCTAAAGGATAATTACAAAGAAGAACGAAGAAACTCGGTGGACGATCGGCAGTCTTTAGCTTCGGAAGTATGTCATGCTGAGGATGATGTCAACTCCTCGGACCTAGAACAGCAGGAAGAGGATTCATGCAAATCTATACAAGAATTGGATGATACACAATTACAATTACAATTGAAATCACCCACTAAAGGCATTAAGCCAATTTCACAGCGTTTAGAGAATCTAATACTTTCGAATGCTCCTCTTAAGCCTGGAGATTTGTCTCAGGCATTTACGGATTTGCGACAAGAAATTGGAGCCGACGTACTCACAGTATTCCCGCAAAATATGAATTTAAAATTTGCCGGCAATACAGCACTGAGTAATGCCCTGCAACAACATTTGGCTGCAGTTAAACAGCAAATCGGCGATGTAACTGAAGATTCTGGTGATGGCATGTTACAAGTTGGTGGTGGTGGTGACAATGACTCATCTATAGCTGCTCAAAGTAATGAACAACAACTAGTCTATCCATCATCTATGGATGCTGAAACCTTGGAACAATTTGCTAATGCTGCTGCACAGGCTAACAACAATAATAACGATAATACTTCGGTAGTCGCTGTGACTACTGGAGGCGTTCAAGATCAAGTAGTGGGCGTCTCAGGTGAACAGACCGAGGAGGGTATGCGAGAAGAAATGTATGATATTGAGGTGGAAATGGATGACTTTTTCCATGTCATACACAATGTTCATGATCCTGCTTTACAAGTAAGTTGAACGAGTAAAAACCTAAAACATCTTTATGTTAAATAAAAGTGTTCATTGAGAAGAAGCTTGCTCATAACCTAAAGTTTTATTCCCTTTCTGTAATTTTCTTTTGATTTTTGTGTAGGAATTTGCTAGCAACTTAAATTGTGGTGAATTAGCAGACTTTGGTATTAATTCGATCTGCAAGACACGCTGGAATGGCAATTGGGCTTTGACTCCGAAATGGACTAGCCAAGATCAATTGATAAGCGCCGCTGCTGCGGCCCACCATCAACAGCAACAACAACAACAGGGTCTTTTGGCAACCAACGAAGAGCAACAGCAGCAACAGGAGCAACAAAGACAGGCGAATCAATTATTATTGGACTATCAATTGCAACAGCAATTACAGCAAAGATTTGCTGATGCCGATGAAATGCAAATGCAGGTAAGTCATTCTTAAGAATACTTTCCGTTTTCATTATTTTTATAGACATATAAGAGTTAAAATACTACAATGGCAAGAACCAGTTGTTGGTCTTCTTGATCTTGGTTGATGAACAATTTTTGATGTTTAAATAAATTTTAACTATTCACCTTAAAGCAACATCAACATCAGCAAACTACGTTGTCGTTGATACCCTTTTCACCTGAAGATGCTGCTGCCGCGTCCGCTGCTGCTGCTGCAGTACAACAACAGCAACAATTGCAAACACTGCCTACAGCTACGTCGGCTGCCAACACAGTGGCTGAATACCAATTACAGCAGCAACAACAACAGCACCAGCAACACACCCAGCATCATGGTTTAGATCAAGAACTAAAACAGCATATACAACAACTACACCAGCAACAACAAACCAATGTGCGCTTGTTAAAAGCCGTTGCGGCTGCTGCTGCTAATCAACAGCAACAACAGCAACTTACTACTAATCAGCAACAGCAAAATGTAACAAACAATAATAACAATAACTTTGTCTTCAATGTTGATGGTTGCGGTGGTGTAGGCTCGACTGTAGCCGACAAGTCTTCACAATCTTTACAGTTATTATTCCAATTACCACCTACGGTTCAACAGCAGCAGCAGCAACAACAACAAGACGATGTTGCTGCCACAGCTCAACAACTACAACACTTGAAATTACACCACCAAGAACTGCAAGATCAGCAAAAACAACAGCAGCAACAATTAAAGTTATTGCAGCAACAAGAGCAAGATTTGTCACAAACCACTGCTGAAAGTTTAATGCAACAACAGCAGCAACAGCAACAAACCACATTAGAACAAGTGGCACAAAATAATCTCTTATTGCAGCAGCAGGCCGCTTTAGCCCAACAGGTACTCAATCAGCAGGTCTTAAAGCAAAAGCAACAACAATTGTTAATGCAGCAGCAGCAACAATCAACACAGGTTTGTAAAAAGATAACAAAAAAGCAAAAACGTAGTTATTTTAGGTTATATTATAGAATTATATTTCAACACATATGAAAACTTTTATGCAAAACTATCTATTTTTTATTTTAGGTTCAAGTTTCTACACAGACTCAATCATCTGTTGTGGTGCCTCATCCAAATGCCGTACAAGTTCAAACATCACGTGCTGTTACCAATCAATTTTGTCCTACGCTGTCAACTATGGCTGCCGCTGTTGATGTCGGTTTGGGCAGTGTTTGTGCTCTAACGCCACAACAACAACAGCTACAACAACAACAGCAACAACAACAACAACAACAACAACAGCAGCAGCAACAACATCAAACTTCGCTTGAACAACAAATGTTAGCAGCTGGTTATGCAGCCAGCGTACTTGCCGTAACACAACATCAACAACTGCCCGTACCAGCACCGTTGACAGCAGCTTTAAATCAAGTTGTGGCCAATGCATCGTCGGTAATGCCACCCCAGGCCTCCACTAGTTCTGGTAGTAGCAAAATGCCGGGTGGTATTGCTAAGAAGGTAATCGACAAACAGTCACGCAAGGAACGTAATCGTTATTCATTGCTACGTTCTGCAGCCGGTAGTCAAGGTAAGTGAAATCTAAGTATACATTTCTAAAGGATTGCGTTGAATACTGATCTAAACTCTGTATTTCTCTATAACATAATGTTTTCAAGATATTGTATATACAAATTTGTTTAAATCCCGTTTTTGGCCATATTCAAGACGTTTTCTTTAACTGTTGTTTCTTATTTATTTTTGAATTATTTTTTTCAATAATGCTTCTTTAGCCAATGCTGCCGCACAACAGCAATATCAACAAACAGTTGCCGCAACTACTGCCTTAGACAAAACCATCGATGTAGATTCCGAAACTGATTCCAATCATGACACAGCTCTTACTCTCGCCTGTGCCGGAGGCCATGAAGAATTAGTTGAGTTACTCATAAATCGTGGTGCAAATATAGAACATCGCGATAAGAAGGGCTTTACACCATTGATTTTGGCAGCGACTGCTGGTCATGAGAAAGTTGTAGATATTCTACTTAAACATGGCGCCGATTTGGAGGCACAATCTGAACGTACTAAAGATACACCACTATCGTTGGCCTGTTCAGGTGGACGTTATGAAGTTGTTGAACTATTGTTGGGCATAGGAGCGAATAAGGAACACCGCAATGTGTCCGATTATACACCATTGAGTTTGGCAGCTAGCGGTGGCTATGTGAACATCATAAAGTTGTTGCTTAGTAATGGCGCTGAGATTAATTCACGAACTGGCAGTAAATTGGGCATATCACCGCTAATGTTGGCCGCTATGAACGGTCATACGGCAGCGGTGAAATTGCTGTTAGATCAGGGTTCGGATATTAATGCTCAGATTGAGACCAACCGTAATACTGCTTTAACCTTGGCCTGCTTCCAGGGCAGACATGAGGTGGTTAGTTTGTTGTTAGATCGTAAAGCCAATGTCGAACATCGCGCTAAGACTGGTCTAACGCCCCTCATGGAAGCCGCCTCGGGTGGGTATATAGAAGTCGGACGTGTTTTGTTAGACAAGGGAGCTGATGTTAATGCAGCGCCAGTACCCACCTCAAGAGACACGGCCTTAACTATAGCCGCCGATAAGGGCCACTTGAAATTCGTTGAATTACTGTTGGCTCGTGGAGCGGCGGTGGAGGTAAAGAATAAAAAGGGCAACTCACCCCTATGGTTGGCTGCCCATGGTGGCCACTTGAGCGTCGTTGATATATTATATAACCACAATGCCGATATAGATTCACAAGACAATAGACGTGTTTCCTGTTTAATGGCCGCTTTCCGTAAAGGTCACACCAAGACCGTCCGTTGGATGGTACAATATGTCACTCAGTTTCCTTCCGATCAGGAAATGAATCGCTTCATTAGTACTATAAGCGATAAGGAGCTGTCGGAGAAATGCTACGATTGCATGAAAATCATACGAGCGGCAAAAGAGGCACAAGCCGTTAAGGCCAATAAGAATGCTTCGATACTGTTGGAAGAATTGGATATGGAGAGAACTCGTGAAGAGAGCAGGAGAGCTGCTGCTGCTCGTCGTCGTGAGCGCAAAAAGAAGAAGAAAATGGAAAAGAAAGAGGAAAAGCGCCGCCAAATGGAAGAAGCCACTGGTGGCTCAAGCAATCAGCAAGAACAAGACGATAAAGATTCCGACAAAGATGAGGAATCTGATCACGAGGATAACAATGCCGCCGATGAAGATGATGACCAACAAAATCCTCAAAATTATCGTGAAGAAGGTGACTCTGGTATAGATCAAGGTTCATGCTCCAGCACCGATATTAAGGCTTCGGTTGGAAATTCACAAAACAATGACAAGTCTGTTGGCGGTGGTGCTAGTGCGGGAGGTAAAAATAAAAACAAAAAGAAAAATAAACAGCAGAATACTCGCAACAGTAGTCCTGTTGTAGAAGAACCTCAAATAGTCCAACCTGCCCCAGCTGCAAAACAACAACAGCAGCAACAACAACAGCAACAGAACAATAAAAAGAAAGACGAAAGTACCAACTCAAAGGCTGTCTCTAACAGTAACAAGAAAAATGCTGCAGAACAAAATACTTTAGCTGCTAAAACTCAAAGTAATAACAACAATGCAAATGCCAGCAACAAGAAATCGGATCATCAACATAAGAAAGAAGAAGTTATTAATAACAACAACAATACTTCTTTGAATACTGGCTCTAACACCAACACAACAGCCGGCAACAAAAAGAAAGAGTCCAATAAACAAAAGGAAAAAGAAAACTTGGCACCCAAAGAATTAACAGCCGCAGGAACGGCTCAGTATCAACCAACACCGCAAGCAACACAAACAAATAGCCACAGTCATATTCATAATAATAAACAGCAACAACAGCACGCTCATGTTCAACAACAAGCAAACAGTAATAATAAATCGGAAACATCTTCCGCTGGTAATCGTAAATCACTAATATTCTCTGCTTCCAAAACGGCTGAGGAGAATAACAAACGTGACATGGAATCTATTGCCTCCACTACGTTGAGTTCGACTTCGTCAAACAATAAACCACACCCAGCCACAAGTGTACCCAAAAGAGGAGAAGACGGCTGGAAAGAGGTTGTACGCAAAAGTTCAACACAACAATCGACCACTGCGTCTGCAACATCTGGCTCTGCTTCCAGTAATACTTCTACATCAACAGCGATCAACAGCAAGGAGTCTACGTCCAGTACTTCAACAACCCTCTCTTCCTCGTCAAATTCTTCCTCGTCTACGACCATAACCGTACCTGGAGTTTCGACAACTACCACCGTTACATCTACAGCCCCCGAAATGACCTGCAAAAAGGTACAAGTTCCCGTCAATGCCATCTCCCGTGTAATTGGACGCGCTGGCAGTAACATCAATGCCATAAGAGCCACTACAGGAGCCCACATTGAAGTAGAGAAACAAGGCAAAAATCAATCTGAACGTAGTATAACCATTAAGGGACTTACGGAAGCTACCAAACAGGCTCACATGTTGATTTTAGCTCTAATCAAGGATCCTGATGTGGATATATTACAAATGTTACCACGCATTAATACTACTATTAAAGCATCCGTGGTGCCTCCTGCGTCGACCACTCCGCCATCTTCAATCTCGACCATGCAAGTTGGAACATGGGATAACAAAACAGCTATGCAGTCCTCTAGTGGCGGACAAAGCAGTAATATGTCGTCAGGATCGTCAACAACATCGTCTGCCTCGTCTACGCCCGGCACTAACCTAAACTCGAAAACAACCGGAAATTTGAATTCCAAATCGAATACAAAGTTGCAAGGAGGTATTGGTTCAAATCAAAATAAATCTGCCATAGGTAGAACACAACCTTCAAAACCTTTCTATGCTCAGCAAACACTCACATCTAGCCGTGGTTCAGGCGTAGGTGCAGCCTCTAATAACAGCAATCAAATGAAACATAAAGATCTTAATAGTAAGGGTTTGTCAGGACCCGGTTTTAGTCAGAAATCTGCTGGAACTCCTGGAGGCAAAACAACTGGAACCACTTTTGGAGGATCTGGAGTAAATAATCAAACATTTGCGGCTAAACTGCTAACAGGTGGCGCCGCTACTTCATCTTTAACTGGCAACAATTCGTCTCCTACTAAGAAGTCGGAACTAGGAGGTTTGCAAAGATCGGGAATAACAGCTCCATATGGACGTGGTAAACCTGTACCCAGCTCAACTATACCCTCCTTGGGAAGTGTAGGAGTTTTGAACCAAAACAATAACACCCTATCCGGTCCCATAGGAACATTTAATGTAGCCGAGGCTGCAGCTGCTGTGGCAGCAGCAAATGCTGCAGCTGCTCAAGCAGCAAATCATAATGCCGCCTCTTCGAACACAACTGCACGTTCTGTGACCCCAATAGGTCCTCCAAATAAACAACGAGCTCCTACACCCACAGCTCAACAACAATCGGCAGGACATATTAACAACAATGTCACTATACAAGCAACACAATCTATGCAACAGCAACAAAATTTGCACATTAATACTGGCAACCTAGGTGACAATGTTAATCCGACTGGAGGATCAGCGTCATTATCTACACCTGGTAGCTTTGGAGCTCAATTGGCAGCCAAGATAAGCAGCGAATACTCACTTTTCAATGATTATCATCAGTCCCAATGGGGCAGTGCAGATAATTCACAGAACTACCCTAATCCCAATGCTTTGGTTAATGATAATGTACCTCAAGCAGATGCTTCTAAGGCTCCTGGTTACAACCGCAATATATTAAGTTCTCCCGTGGGAAGTTCTAAAGCTTCCAACTCCAGCACACCACCGGGAAATGCCGCTACAAGCAATCTCAATGTAGCCTCTCAGCAAACACTAACTATTTTGCCCGAGAGTGGTGTAGCTCCTATAGGATCTACAGCATCGCAGGCAGCAAGGTCACCAGCTGGTATATCTGTAGTTGGTAATGATTTGACCCCACCATCAGCTGCTAATGCCGGTCAGGCTGCACCACAGCAACAAGATAATAGTGCTATATCGCCTAATGTCATTAAACCACCTGGAGCCATAGGTCAAGCAGCTACTGCAACATGTCCTCCAACACAGCAACAACAAGCAAATCCTGGAAATGTATCACAACCACCTCCTAGTGGTTTGGCTATACAAAGACCCCAGACTAGTGGCCAGCATAGAGCGAATGCCTCCAATAATTCTACACAACAATCTCCGCCATCGGCACAGCCCAACGTTGCAGATAATTCGGGAAATACACTAAATTTTGGCCCAATAGGTCCCTCAAATTCATTGAATCGTGGCAATAACCCTGCCGGAGCTATAGGTGAACAACCACGTTTCTACGATCCCACTAATCAAATGAATGTTGCTGTGCCCATGGGCTTCCAAATTGATCCCAGTCTTATGCAACAGCAGGGCTACAATTCGGCCAACTCTAGACTCAATCCCAGAGCTTCGGTATTTGGCGGACAACAGCCGGGCAATAAATCACAAACACAATCATCACAAGCCTTGGCTTCAGCCTTATACCACCAACAGCAACAACCACCAACTCAACAGAATCAACAAGGAAATGTCTTCAATGCCACACCAGGAAAACCCGTAAATGTTGGCCAGAATTTAGCACCGCAACGTCCCCAATCTCAACCTCAAACAGGGCAAACACAAAATCAGCGTTGGTATGGCACCGACTATGCTGGCATGGCTACAGCCGGTGGTTATGTACCACCTTCAACCCGAGACATATTAAATTTGGAGAATGGCTCAACTGGTGGTCTGGGCGGTGCTGGTACCAATTCACCAGCTGCCATGTCACCCAGTCAGGGTGGCAATGTCAATGCCAACAATCCTGCTGGACTCCTACAAACACCCCCACAAATGCCAGGTCAACAATCGGCCGATGATATGCGCAAAATACCCAGACCCATTGGTACAGAACGGGCATCATGGAAGTACAATAACTATCCAGGTATGGCAAATATGGGCATGGGCGTAGGAGGTTTAGCTGGTGCCGTTGGTTTAGCTACAATGGATGATAATTTGGCTGCTATGACAGCAGCTGCAGCTGGTATCCCAGGTGCTGGTATACCAACTGGTCCTTTGCCACCATGGCTTTTGGGCACCACCGCCGATAAGCAAGCAGCGGCCGCAGCCGTACAACAGCAACAACAACAGCAGCAACAACATTCAAATTGGATGAAGCAGCAGTATCGTTACTACAATCAAGGTGCAGCTGGTGCTGGTACCATAGGCGGTCTAACGGGTCTTGGCGGTCCGGCCGATTACCATCATCAACAAGATCAATTTCATGTGAGTATGAATTAAAAGCTTATTTTTCTGTATTTTCAAATGTAGACGGTAAATTTAACGATTTATTTTATTTTGTTTTATGATTTAGATGGCTTTGGATTATCATAACACTATGCCACCACCAAATTTGAATCAGAATCAGCCAATGAATCTTATACCCACTTATACAACTTATCCACATTTCTTGGGTCATGTTGGTGGTAATGATATGTCTCATATGCCGGAAAAGATCGAATTGTGGGATCATCATGATAAACATGTAAGTTTGAAATGTATATCTATCTATCTATCTATCTATCTATCTATCTATCTATCTATCTATCTATCTATCTATCTATCTATCTATTTATATATCTATATACATATACATATATATCTATCTATATATTTCTATAAAAACATGTACCTTTTTTATTATATTTTACAGACTTGGACCAGCAATTGGACCAATTGATGATGCAAACGTAAAATCAGCCAGTGAATCTAGAAAAAAGTAATCCAGCAACTGTAAACTAACAACAATCGTAAATGAATAGCGTTGCTTATTCTTTAAATATAAATCCGGACACTGAAAAAACAAGAAGGAGCTAATTTAGAAAAAACACACAATTATCTATCACTTTCTCTCTCTCTAAACTATAAAGTTTTTTGATTTGGAAACATAAAAAAAAAAATTAAATACTACCAAGAATAATATTTATAAAATATTATTATTAATTAATAATTACTCGTACTACTCTTCAATACAAGTTAAAAAAATATATATATTTTTTGGATTAAGCTTAAACAAAAACAAAAAAAAAAAAAAAAACACTACAAAAATATTTGAAATGAATTAAAACAAAAGTTATAATACAAGAGATCTTATTGCAAAAATTAAATGATTTAATGAATGAATGAAAATGGTTGAATTAAAACGAGTTGGAATTTAATTTATCATTATACTTTGTTTAAAACGTAAATATTAATTTTCTTCTTATGAGTTTTTTTACTCCAAACATTTTACGCTTGAAGCCTTGAATATTATTATTATTATTTTTTTGTTTTGGGATTTTTTTTTTTATTTTTTGTATGTAGAAAAAAATGAAAAACAAAATGAAACAGTTTTTTGAAAAATATTTGCATATTAATAAAAACAAAAAACTCTTTACTGCTCTTCTTATATTGTTATATTTAACATGAAAACAAAATGCATTAAATGAAAACTTTCAAAACACTGGAAAAGATAAATCTTTGATTGCAAAAAAAAGAAAACAAAAAAAAAAAAAAATAAAACTCATATTATATGGAAAATTACATACATTGTTAGTCTGTAAGCAGCTACAAACATAAAAAACAAAATGTTTTTGAAATATATATTATATAATAGCTACTACTTACTACTACTACTACACACTTTGAAATATTTAATAAATATATACATATATAAAAAAAGCATGAAATATAAATAAAAAAACAAAATCATTATTAAAAAAACTCGAAAAAAAGTGAACAAACATTTATTGAACCAGCAGATACTTAGATAGATGTGCATACATATTATTAAGGAGTGGTTTCATTATTATTTGTTGTTTAAAAAAAGTTGATGGGGGAAGTAAAAAAGATTTTTAACATATTTTCGAAAATTCGAACTTAAGTTCGAAAATATTTTACAACTATTAAAATAATCTCCAAAAAATAAGGATCCATAAAATGTACATTTTCTTTGGATTTGAGCTCAATTCTACACATTTTCAAAATTCGTACTTAGAATTAAAAAAAAAAAAAAAAAATTAAATACTTTTTAGGAATTTTATAGTATTTTTGATCTAGTTTCAGTATAAAGGCTTTTTAACATATTTTCGAAAATTCGAACTTAAGTTCGAAAATGTTTAAAAACTGTTAAAATAATCTCTAAAGCATATGGATTTTAGCTCAATTTCTTTACATTTTACCATTTCGAAGTTTAAAATTTTATAAAAATTAGTTCCTTGATTGCAATTGAAATAATGTATTTTTGTTACAAAAGCCAATTCAATTACGTATACGATTTGATAATGGACTGTTCTACGTATCAAGTGAATTAAAATCGACCGAAATTTTCTATTAAATCTGAGTTACTTGATTTAGGAAAAAGTTCTAAAGAAAATTCTATATTTTTCTCACAAACAACATTTTAGAATAAGAAAATTAAGGAAACCACTCCCTAAAGGGAAAATTGTTAACAATTTTTTTTATAGTTTTCTTTTATAATTTGTTTCTTTATTATTTCTTTTCTTTTATTTCATTTAAAGCTTTATTAAAAGAAAAACTGAAAAACCAAACTGGATTTACTGCAACCAAAAAAATGAAAAGTACACGACAACCTTAAAGGGATAATAAGCGTAATAATTGATGATCCATAAAGTATATTATTGCATAAATGACAAAAAATTGTTTAACAAACAACTGATAGCAAACTTAAATTAAAAAGAAAAAACAGCTTAAAAAATAATAATAAAAAAAAAAAAAATAATTAAATTAACACATTTATAAAAATTAAAAACTTTTGGCATTAAATTAAACAAAATTTCAAACAATGCACTGTTTTTGAACTAAAAAAAGATATATTAACAGAAAAAAACTTAAACTTATTAGATTATGAAAATATATAAAAAACAAAATAATTAAAACGCTTGCTTTAAAACATAACCTCTATTAAATTAAAAAAAACAAAAATTTTCTTTTAACCTTTTTAAAAAGTTTATATAAACAAAAAACCACAAAATTATTATAACATTAAAAATCCCCAACTCAAATTAACAACCACACCCCCTGCCCCTTATCCTTTAAAAGGTTTTTTTTATTAGTGGTTTAAAATTATTTAAAAAACTTGTTCAAGAATATTGTTTTTAAAACTTTGCATGTAGGTCTGAAAATTAAAAAAACATATTAAAATAGCTTTTTAAATTATTTTTTCCTTTTAAACCTTAAAATCTTACATAAAACAAAAACATTTATTAATACACCATACACATTTATTACTCTATATATTAAAACAAATATAATTATTATTAAAAAAAACTATATGTCTAATGCAAGTTAAAAAACATAAAACTTGATTACATATTATAATTATTATTATTACGTATAAATAATATTAATTATATACACAAAAAAAAAAGAAAACATAACCATACTTATTAATATTACTACAACAAAAAATACGAAGATTAATATAACAATTATTTAAAATATACTTTATTGAAATACTAAACAAAAACCGAATTGATTTTATTTTCTTATTTGAGTTTTAGTTACAATATTTTTCACTTCTACTTATGTATTTGAGAATGGTCAATGGTACTGGTATAACCTTGAAAACAAAACAAGCATTTCCCAGTAAAACCAGTTGGGTAGGTTGATAGGAGGCTCTATATATTACACCAAATCCGAAATGGAGGGCTCCTGTTGTGCACTTTATACATGCTCCGCATTCGTCTGAATCCGCGCGTCCAATTTTGTGGCCGTAATCCTGCATGTCCACTCAAAATACGTACCATCATACTAACCTCAGACTTGCTCATTTTGAGGAGGGTTCTCGTCCTGCTCACGTTGTTCTATCCACCGTTTGATTATTCCAATTATGGGATTATAGCACCTATTTTATTAATTCAGTCCTTGGATTCCTACACGTGTTTGCTATACTGTTCCACTTGACCATAACATTCTATATGGGATCAGTGTAAGTTCCCGACATATTCTGAGTCTGGTATGCGATCGGACACGTCCGATGATTGAATATAGACTTCCAATGTGTTCAGTATACATTGATGACGTTTTCAATAATCGCTTTTTGTCAGTTCGCCAAAAATTATGAGCCGTTCGACTGTAAGTGCCGCCTCATATCCTTTATATGTATGTTTCAATGGGGGGAATATCTAGCAACGTTTCCAGAGCCTTGGTTGACGCAGTGCTCATGGCACCACTTATACCCAAGCAGCATGTCAGCTGAACTCGTATTAGTTTGAGATTACACTTTTTGTCCAAAGAAGTCCGCCAGATTATTGAAGCATAAGTTAGATTTCTTCTAATTACACTTTCATAATGTCAATGTGTCATAGTAGGACTAAGGCCACATTTCATGCCTATGGTTCTCCTGCATAGCACCCAGCACCTATCCTCTAATCCTCGGTAAAGGATTACACCTAAATTCTCGTGAAAAGACAGATTTTCGTCTTCGCCGGGCTAACTTTGAGGCCTCTCGGTTGAGTCCGGTTGGCGGAAATCAGACGGTTTAGCGAAACCACCTGTCTTACTTCGAGGTCAATTTGCCCTCCAGGACAATTTTACTGTTAAGGTTTCGTATAGCACTGATTAGAGCGCTAATATCAGTCATAACGGTACACTGTGTAATTAGCAATCAAGCCAGAAGAATGGGTCTTGAATACAACATAATAAGAAGGAAGAGGAAAGAATATCTTACCTTCATTGTTTCGGCTTTGCTGTTCTCTCTCGTATGGAGGAGCTGTCTGGGATAAGCCTCAAAAATATCATAAATTTTGTAAATCAAACGGGCTGGTTTAACTCTGGAAGTAGTGAGTAGCACTTTAATGGACCCTTATGACCACTAGGGCATCTCAATGGGACCTCGGTTAGGTGGACCCATGTGAGCCACTCTTGATTGAATGAGTGGCTATTCTTCTGACCTAAACCTAGCATGACATATCCCCTCACTACTGCTAGACACTAAAGAAATTTACATTAATGAGTCAGGGAAAGTGTTTTTGTCAACTTTAAGTTTAGTAGGATGGAAAACTTCATCAGATCCAAGGTAATACACCTAGATCCCTATCGAAATTGTTGCGTGCTCTTTACATGGAAATGTTGGTGACAAAACCTTTACATCGTGAGTTCTTTAGAATTTTTGCAATACCTTTCGAATCGAAATACGCAGTAATCCCCATGGCAACGACAGAGTAAGTATTCCTGAGTTTCATTGTCTTTTCGGCATGCTCTATATTCTCCTGAATCCGTTCCTCTTCGTCCTCTCGTTGGTGTCCACTCTTCTCAGTGGCTGCACGAAATTCTCTCGAGCATATTTTTTATTAAGCCCTCGTTGCACCGAATTGTTTTGGATTCGTTAGTTTATCCTCACCGAGTTCCTTTTCCTTTTAACTATATCTAATATTATCCAGCAAATGCCGAATCTTTTAGAAAAGTCTAGTCTATAGTCTAGTCCACAGTATAGTCAACAGTGTATTCCATTGTATATTCTATAGTCTAGTTTTTTATAGTCTAGTCTATAGTGTAGTCTATAGTATAGTCTATATTCTAGTCTATAGTCCAGTCTATAGTATAGTCTATAGTCCACTCTATATTCTAGTCTATAGTCCACTCTATATTCTAGTCTATAGTCTAATATAAGGTCCATAGTCTTGGTATTACAAAATTTATAGCTATTGATCAAATTTGATGTTTTCTAGTGGCTTTTGCAAAAAACTAAATCTGACAGTTTTTGTTACGTGATTTGACGGCAACATTGAATATATTATGATTTATAATTTAATAAATTTTGTAAAAAAAATATTTAAACAGCTTACATGCAAATTTTAAAGACAGTTTTTTAAGAATTTCTTAAAGAAAACTTCCCTTAAAAAAAAAATAACAGATCCCCAAACTTAAGTTTTAATATCATCAAATTACTTACAAATTATTTCTTTAGCTGCAAGCAATGTTTAATATTCAAATTCTTTAGCATAATAATAGTTGTGTTTTGTTGCTATCAATGAGTGTTAACGCTTAAAGTTAGCAACAAAACGAACATTACCTGACTTGGCATCACTCCACAGAAGAAATCTGCTAAATCTTGAAATTATTTACAATTTCTTGAAAAGGTTTTTTTATTTGGTAATTTTCTTTGATTTAAATTTTATTTTAAAATATTTTTTTATTGTTTGACATAAACACATTAATATTTGTATTTTTATTTTTGAATTGGTAGCACTTTTATCAACGTTAAAATTAACTTGTATAATTTTACACGTTAACTCCTAACGTTTATAAATTTTAAATTTATATGAAATTGCCTTTGAACGTTAGCAACAAAACACAACTAATATTAAAAAAATCCATAAAAATTTATATATTAAAAAGCAAAATATAAAAAAATATTTCAATATGAACAAAAGAAGTCAAAGTAGTTGTTCAACTCATATTCATACATGATTTATAATTTAAATATTATAAAAATATTATTATTATAAAAGAAAAAATTATTATAAAAATATTAATAAGGCATGCAAACGTAAGACAAGATATAAACAAAAAAATATA